TGCGGCAGCATGTTCCACACTGCTGGATATTGAGGTCGTGATAAAGCTGGGAACACGGACGGATGGAGGAGGCAGCGCTGATTCTCCAACCTCGGGGAGTTTGGACTTTAAAGTTTCCACGCTCGCACTTCCGGCTTTGACAGAAGGTTGCACTACGTGAACAGGGGAGTCTTTTCTGGGAGAGGGAGGATCGGTGGTCTGACTTCCGCTGCCCGGTCGCTCGGCGGCCTGACTTCCGCTGCCCGGTCGCTCGGCGGCCTGACTTCCGCTGCCCGGTCGCTCGGCGGCCTGACTTCCGCTGCCCGGTCGCTTCTGGTAAGTGGGAATTCGGGAGACTGGTTTCCCACCTTTTCGATTCATATCTTCTTTCTCCTCTGTTTCTTTTCTCTGGGTCCTTTCATCTATGTGGAGGGGATCCAGAACAACCCGGCAACCCTTCAGATCCTGAGAAAGACAGACGCATTGTTTGACTGCAAAGCTCTGAATCTGAATATCACCACGGTAAGACACTAAGATCTACGAAACATCAACAACAGCAGTCGTTCAAAGTTTGGCTCAGTGTGTTACCTTCCTGTAGCACAGAAATGACTGGTACACACACACACCCACCCATTCAAATTAGCTGCATCAACTGGCCCACCGCAGCCTGCGAGTGTTTGTTTGCTCACATGACACCACCGTGACTACAGGATCAATTCATTCAAAGTTCTTCACAGACTCGGAGCTCCACCTGCTCTGCTTCTGCAGTTAACATTTCATAAATATGCAGGAGGCTCCATGGCAACCGTAACACACTGTTCCTTCAGGGCATCGGCAGTGTGAGGTCACATTTCAAGTTATTTCAGAGCTGCACTTACATCTTTACTCCTGCTGGAGAGATAGTTGGAAACTTCTCTTTGAGCGGAATATAAATAGTCTAAAAAAAGTTAAAAACAGGCTTTTCCACCTCCAGTAAATAAAAAACATTAAGCAGTAAGAAAGAAACAATATTATATATAGGCCCGTCACAATAACAAATTTTACTGGATGGTAAACTCTTCAAGAAATTAATGTGACAAGAAAAGATTTTGCTTTTGTCATTTATATAATTTTGAAATTGTAGAAAAGTTTGTTCAACTATGTTCAAACAGTACTTTGTTTGCTTCAAGGTTATAATGAGATGATTACAGGTGAACGCTTTTACTGACCTAAATAGTGAATTATCCATCTTACGTCTTAATATTCTGTTCAATTAACCACACTTTGAGCCAAAATGTATTATCCATACTACTAGATAATGATAATATTAATGCAGCACTTTGAAACCACCTTTACTGTTTTATCTTTACCTTAAAACAGTCAGACGTTGAAGTACAGTCCTCCAATCAGATTCAACAATGACATCAAAAACACCCTTTAAAGAGTCTCTCTTTCAAAGAAAAGTGAAAAAAGAGTAATGCCTGAGGCAGCACTGCATTACAAATGCTAAGGTACAAAAACAAATTTCAGCACTGCATGTTTTAAATAGACGTGTTTGCAGCTCTAAGTGGAATCAGAAAATCGTCCACCCACCGCTAACTTTGAGTTTACTCCATTAATGCCAAACAAAGTCTACATTTCCTGCTGTAGTAAAAGTGTTTTTAGAGTTAACCTTCCTCTGGTTCAGAGCTGGTAAAAACCCTCCTCATTGAAGTCATCCAGCAGGTGAGAGCCTGACCCGCTGAGATCTGACGGGAAGCAAAACAAACTTGAAAACCGAGCAAACACTGAGCTTCCACAACAAAGAGTCGGTCTTCACGGTTCAAAAGGGAGAAAGGAGCCAATGGGAGAAGGTTAATCACACAATACAGTTCTGTGCGATTAACACAGTTCTGCTTCTACTAGCTTAAGTATTAAAGAAATGTTCAGCCTTTAAATACTACAAGTATCAGTGACAAGTTCATTTCAATCATTTGTTTGAAAAATTAAAACTCATACAGATTAAACTGACACAAAGCAATACATTGTGTTTATGTGTGTGTTTGTTTTGAGGATTATGGCTTACAGATAATGGAAATGCAGAGAAATACAGTTTTTCTGATCAGTAAATTGCAAAATACCAATTACAAAAAGCAATAGTTGTTCCATATCTGAGCATGTTAATGGAAAATTGAGTGAAAGGAAAACAGTAGAGATGTGCCAATCAGGTTTTTTCCTGCTGATTCCGATCACCCAGGAGGGCCGATCACCGATACTGATCACATAATTATTATTTTTTTAATCATAAGCACTACCGGTTACATTATGTGGAAAAAGGAACCATGAATTCACCTTAATATAGACAAAAGGTTGTTTTTAATAACTTTTTTCAAGAAAAAAAAAATCAAAACAGACATTGTGCAAATTGTACTGCTATCGGTGATACTATCTTCAACAGACTGAAAACATATGAAGCCTCTGAAGAGGCTAAATAATGCAAAGAGTCAAAATAAAACCTCAACATTGCCAAAAAATTCAAGTATAAAACTTAACATTCAAAGGCAAATACAGGTTCCATTACAATAAACGATCCTGAGTTACTGAATGAAAACTTCCTGATAGCATGGCGGCTAGCTGATTACTGCTAGTTCTTGGAGGGACTAATCAGTTCATTCAATATTATTACATTTTAAGTAGCAATAATGCAGAGAGATATTTATTAATATTTTTAACAGTCTCTTTTTTTATTATGAGTTTTATTAGCATATTCTGGCATCACCGGCCCTTTAAGAACATTCTGGTCTAATGAAATATTATTTGCAAGTTTTTCCTAGAAAAAACCCCCCAACAATACTTTAGTTTAATATTTAACTAGGTTATAGGTAAGGACACTTCCGCTGCCTTATGACATTTCCTGTTAATGACCAGCATCTGCTGCAGGGAGCCACAGCAGATACTGGTGTGTTTTGTCATAACAGACCAAAGAGTGAATCGTTTAATTCTTCAGTGATGGACCTCTTACCCGTTGGTCTGTCTCCTCAGCAGCTTCCTCCTCCAGCTCTGCCTCATGTCTCTCCATCACTCGGCTCGGGATGGCCTCAGGCTCCGACTCATCAGCCTCCTGACAGAAACGGATTGGTTATAATCAGCTAATGGGGTGCAGCACTTCCGAACGACACTAAATATGCTGTACATGCCGTCCACGGGATGATACTGACAGACTGCTGCTGGCTGTATTTAAAGCTACGGCAGTAATATAAGTTAGTAATATTGAGAAGGAAAAAAAAAAGCAGTTTAAGCTTCTAAAGTGAAAATTACTCATTAAATTACGAAAAAACTTACCATAATGCTGTAGTGTACGGGTTATGTTGTATTAAGTTTTAGGCTGTAGCAGGGAAGAAGAAGGGGGGTCCCCCCCTTTAAGGTGCAGCTATGGTTAGCTCCGTACAGTTAACTTAAGCTAACTGCTTTAAATAAACTAATACGAAAACGGCAAATAAGTTCTGAGGTGAGAATTAAAGCAGTTGGCACTAGGGCTACAAACGTAACCCCTTTTAAAGAAAGAAAAGACAAAGTAGTTTGCTATAAACGTCGCTGCTGCTGCCGTTGACGCTAACGAGCGAGCTACGTGGCCGTCCTCCTTTTTTGTAGTTCTCAGCAAGCAGGAGCGGCGGAGGAAGAGGAGGCGGAAAGACTGAGTAATAAAAGTACCCACCTCATAATGCCGATTCAGACGCGGGCGTGTCGACCTCCGCCTCGGCGTTGGCTCTAACTCGACCCGATTCGACCGTCTGGACCGTAGCACCATCGGCATCCTGCAGCGGTTTTAATAATGTAGCAAGCAGATTTGTGGAACGAAGTCGCGTTAACGGTTGGAGCGGAACGTCAACAGTAGCCAGTAATGAGAAGGAGCCAACGGCGGCAAAACAAATGCCAAAGCAGCGGTCTTCAGAGGTAACGTTATTAAGAGAACCTGCCGGGCTTTCTATAAATACAGCAGTCAGTAGTGGTCTGAAGATAACATGTGGGATTTGAATGGGTCGTCCTTCACGGAGATACATAAACAACAACTTGAAGTAACCGCGATTTCCTGTCAACGCTGATTGGCGGTTGGAACAGAAGAGTAGTTGACGCACGGACGTCAGTTGGGAACGCCCCGCCATATTGTGAGTGGTATTTTAAACCTGAAACATTTATCTAAACAAAAAATATATGTATAATCTATATTTATATAAATAACCTATATTTAATTCTCAGTTCCTATCTTTGAAGCACACTCCCAATTATATCTGTAATATTAAATCACTATCAACCTATAAATGCACCACTTCAGAATTGCTTTTTTTATTTATAAATCCCTTTATTTTCTAATTGTTAAATGTTATCCTATTTATTACATTGTTCAGAATCCTTGTTTGTTCTGTATATATTGCTTGTTTTTTGTACAATGTCCTTGATCGAATAGAAAAATGCCTTGAAATTAAATATTATTAATTTTGATTTGATATGTATTTTGTCATAACATTTTATTTTTTCTTTTATTCCTTTATGATATGTATTTTAATGTCTGTTTTTCTACAATATTCTGAAGTTTGAGGCATATTAAACTCTTTTTAAATAAAATTCTGAACGTTTCCGTCTTTCCTTTGCCTTTTCAAAGCACTTTGGATTCCCCATGCTGCCATATAAATAAGCCTGATTTCACTTACTTTTTTTGATCAAATAGAATAGCTCAGTTAAATGCAGTTGAATCATGGTTAATAAAATCTAGTGGAGCATATTTTAGTTAAGTTTTATTGGTGGTTACGTCTTACTTTGATTGACAGACATATTGTTTGTTATGATCATCAGCATTGGTTCTAAAATGTAAAAAAAAAATTGTACTTAAAAGTTATCAAAAGCAGATAAACGTAATCATTAGCACTTATTTTTGGATAAAACAATGGAGTCACTTTGAATGGCAGGAACCTACTTTCCTTTTCCAAACAAACCCTCCTCGTTCCTCGACGCGAGTTCACCTCTCACAATATGGCGGACGCGCCGGTGCGCTGTTACAAAGGCTCCGCCTCTCAGACGTTACACACGGAAAGAAGGGATTACCGTCTTCAGTCGGCTGCTCATCCTTCAGCTCCATGTTCACCTGAGGCGAAAAGGTCTGTTATTGTCGTCAATTCATTATCTACAGGTGAAACTAGGATTGTTTTTACGAGACTTAGCCTGGCGTGACTGGCGGGCGGAAGCGCAGAGACGTAGGTGTTTGCGGTTAGCTTCAGTTGAGGTTCGGTACCTTGAACGGAGCAGTCGGGTTGTTTATGAAATAAAACACAAAGTAAAGGCAGTCGGATCGGGTCATATGGGTCTCAAAGGTTGCAGCAATTCACCGAGGGGTGTCTCACTTGTTAAATGTATAATACATTAAACTTTAATATAGTCAAACACAGATTTATGAAGTGTTATATAATCCAGTTTGTTGAAACTGAAACAACCAGCGTCTGCTGCATTGATGTTATTGTGCGATTAGTGAGAGAGAACATACTGTATGTAATCATACAGTAAATGTTTGTTTATTATAACTAAGATTATCATAAAAAATGTCATTAAAAGACAAAACGCTTCAGAAATACACCTGCTGCCAAATGAGTGCATTTACAGCAGATATATATATATTTAATTTTCTACCCCGGTGGACCTCTTCTACTCTGATCTTTGCCATTGATGGAGGAAATAATCATGTGTTCTACATCGTTTATGTCGCATTTCATAGACCACAACTGTGAAACTCCAGTCCTGGAGGGCCCACTGCCCGGAAACATTTAGATGTGCCTCTGCTGCACCACACCTGAATAGAATAATTAGGTCATCAGCAAGGATGTGGAGAACTGATCTACACAAGAAGGAGGCAATCAAGCCATTTCATTCCAGTGTTTTGCACCTTTGGCACATCTAAAAACTGCAGGACAGCGGCCCTTGAGGACTGGAGTTTGACACCCCTGGCATAGACAAACATTGGAATTTATATTGAGAGCAAAAAAACAAACAAACAATAACAACAAAAAAAGTGTAAACAACATGATTTGAGATTGATTTTAAAGGTGCTGACTTGCTTCTACATGCTCTTCATTCCTTCTGTTTTAATGTTTTCACCTGGAGATTTTCCAGTAAACATACAGTAAACACTGTAGTGTTTTGTTGTTCTTGTTTTTTGTTTTGTACTCACCCAGGTCCATATTGAGGATTCTTCACAATCTGATTGTGCAAACAGCCATCACATTCAGCTGTTTACTACTTATCCTCAGTCGGGACGGGACAGTGTTTACATTGTGTTGTTTTTCCTTGACAAAAATGCCCAGTTCCTCCTCTGGGCCTGATACACTATCTGATCTCCCTGGCTGCATGTCATGGAGGTTTGCACAGGGCAATCTCACATTTCAGCAACGTCATTTGTTCCCTTATCATTTTCTTCAGCTCTTAGATTTTGTTTGTGTGTGAGTGCGAGAGAGGGAGAGAAAAAAAGAGACCCTGCTCTGGAAAGAATACTGCACAATTGCAGAAAACATGACTGTTCACCTGTAGTGATTAATCAGAGAAGCAGTCCATTGCTCCATGGCAACTCGGACATCCACAACTCAGGTGGGAGTGGTAATCAACACAGAAAAAAAAACTAAACAAAACCTATTAAAAAAATTTATATATATAGTTCCACTCCACTAATGTGACCTTTACAGAAAGTTTGGCGAGACGTGATTGTTGAATGTGGGGCTTGCATGATTAATTGTGATGCATCGATGACTGAAATAATCGTCAACTAATTTAGTAATCGATTGTTAACATTTACTGAAAGAATGACATGTTAAGCCAAAAACTGTACAAAAAAACAAAACAAAAAACACATTTTTACATGTAAAATAAAAAAAAAACAATAAAACTTTTTCTATAATTATGTTCAACCCAGAGCTCCTCAAGTATCAAAGTTTTAGCTTCACCTGGCTCAAATTTTGCAAAAAGAGAAACTCCTATTATGCACCTTTTGCCATCCAGGTATTAATCTGTTAATCTGAAAAATAATCACCAGATTTGTCCAACATTGTGTTGATGTTAAGTCAAGCAGAAAGGGCTATCTATTTTATTTATTTATTTATTTTGCTTCAGATGCAACCTTTGCTACAAATAATCAGACGTTCACTAAAGAAATGCTGTCATTGACTTCTAGGCAACAAAATGTTTATTTTCTCATTCAAAAAGGAACTGAGTTTTTCTTTATGAGGATATTGAATGTATTTCTAATATTGTTTAAAATGGCTTAAGTGGCTGAATGAAAAATCTGCAAAACATGCCAAATATTTTATGCAATTAGTCTATTAATGGTCAGAGTAGTTGGCAGAATAAGCGATTACCGATCTCTTATTGGATAGATGCCTCCCTGGTGGAATGAAAGAGAAGAAATGTGGTTTGCAGTTTGTTGCGAGTAAGGCGCATGAAATGTGTAGGAAAGTTTTCCGTCCAGGTGGGAGCAGCGATTAACTGCTTCACACCCGAACACACAACAGTCTCTGAATCTGGAGTGGATCCGGGTCCCGTTTGGTGACATTGGAGGAAAAAAATAAAATTGTGGCCACGACTTAATAACTTGTGAGAACGACTTAATTACAACTTTTTTCTTTCTTCTCCATGTCACCATACGGGCTCTGTAGCATCCCGACTCTTTTCTGGTCATCTGCTGACCCCTCCCCCACCCCCGTGGATGTGTCCCCCACTCCACCAGATCCTCGGTGTGAAGGCTCCAGAAGTCCCGCGTTGACGATGGCCGCTCAGTGATTCCTCCGCCGCTCCGATGGAGGCTCCGGTCACCGCCGCTTCCCCTCCTCCAAACTCCAACTTCTCCTCGTCGCCCCCAACGCCGCTGCGTCCGGCCGTGGCCCCGTCCGTCCAGCTGGGCTTCACCGCCCTGTACATCGCCCTGTACGGGTCCCTGTTCCTGGTGGTGTACGTGCAGCTGTGGCTGCTGTTCGTCTATAAGCACAAGCGCTGGAGCTACCAGAGCCTGTTCCTGTTCCTGTGCCTGCTCTGGGCCGGCCTGCGCACCACGCTCTTCTCCTTCTACTTCCACAACACGGCCCAGGCCAACCACCTGCCCACCGCCGCCTTCTGGCTGCTCTACTGCTCCCCTGTGTGTCTGCAGTTCTTCACCTTCAGCCTCATCAACCTCTACTTCACCCAGGTCAGTTTTGGGGGAGGATTGTGGGCAATGACATGACTTCGGTTTTGTTGAAAGGTTTTTGTTGTGTTGCTGCTCCGCAGGTTTTCCTGAAGATCAGCGCAGCCTCAGACACGAAGCTGTAAGAACAACCTTCCACTGGAATGGCTCGTGTTGTACTGTGTCGCTACAGCCTGGTCAGCAACCTGTGTGTGTGTAATTGTCAGATGGGTGGCCCGGTGCGCCTACGCAGCCATGAGTGTGATCTTCCTTTGCATCAACGTGACGTGCGCCGCTCTGGGGGAGCGAGGCAGCAGCGGAGAGAAAGGCAAGCGGACCTGGAAGCTGGTGTTGGTCAGAGTGATCGTTAACGACCTGCTGTTCATCATGGAGGCCGTGCTGCTGGCCGCCACGCTGCTGCTGCTCACCAGGCAGCCGCGCTCCTTCAGCCCATACCTCATGAGCAAGGTACAGACACCTGTCTGTCTGTCTGTCCATCCATTCATCAATCCATGTGTCCATTTAGCCTTTCATGCAGTCATCCAACCATCGGTCTTTCCTTCCTTTTTCCATCTTTCCTCTTATTCATCCATTTTTGCTTCATTACTTCCTTTCTTCCCTCTTTCTATCCATCTTTTGACACATCCTTCCTTCTTTAATTCACCTAATCATTTCTTCTTTCCTTACTTTTATCTATCCTTCCTTTTTTTCCATCCCTCCCACCATCCGGTCTCTGTTTTTTTTCCAGTTATCCATATTTAAATCCAGACCTCAGTAGAAATGTCTATCTGCTCTAATTTCTCGTACTAACTTTGTATTTCTGCGTTGTAAACCGTGTCTAAACCTGCCTGAGGTCTGTGAAGTGATGAACAGAACTTTGATATGATCGTCTGAAGGAACCCTGGATGCCTTCAGTGTCTCTGATTAGCTCAGAGTTTGGTTAGAACCGGTGAGTGTCGGAGTACGGATTGGTGTTTACCTTCCAGCGATGGTACAAGTTGTGTTCCTGGGAGGTGGTAGTGTTTTTCTGTTTTTTTTTTGTTTTTTTTCTGCGTTAACGGGAGCGGTGAGTGATGCGTTTCCTGTCACCAGGGAACCACGGTGTGCCGCACGGCAGCTCTGGGAGCCGTGGTCATCTTCCTGTTCTTCAGCCGGGCCTGCTACAACCTGACCGTCCTCTTCCTCTCCCAGAACTACAAGGTGGAGTCCTTCGACTACGACTGGTACAATGTCTCTGACCAGGTGGGTTCCTGCTTCCCAATGGAGCATTATCCCCTCCGAGTCATCAAGCTGTTGGATAAGTTGTTTAAAAAACAAACAAAAAAAAAACACCCTGTATTTTCAGGCTGACCTGCAGAGTGAACTCGGCGACAGAGGCTACCTGGCGTTCGGTGCCATCCTCTTCATCTGGGAGCTGCTCCCTACCAGCCTCCTCATCCTCTTCTTCAGAGTCCGCTGGCCCGCTCAGGAGGTTGATCTCTGCTCTCCAGACCCACAGTCTTTTCCGTTTGTCTTGTTCCCAGTCCTCACACGTCCGTTTTCCACAGACCAGCAGCTTGGACATCAACAACAGGGTTCTGCCTCGTCCGTACTTCTTCGATGACCCTGAAGGCAGCGATGATGAAATACCGGCTCCGTGGGATCGCAGCCCCACTCAGAACCAGAGGTGATACCAATATAAACGCACAGTAGAAGCTTTTTCTGTCTTTGTTTTTAATTAAATGTATTTGCTCACTTTAGAACCACGAACTCAGTTATCCGTAGCCGGATATCTGGGAAAACGAATATTTTTTTTTTTTTTGCGTTTTAGCCTTCCATCCGCACAAAAACGCTGCTTGATATCAATAAAAATGATTATTTATAAAAACTCCCATCAAACTGGAGATTTAAGAAAACTCTGTATGCATGTTTGCATGGGAAAACAGATATGTGAGCTCTGGCGCCCCCGAGGGAGGGAGCCCTTCAAATCACAACAAAGGAGTGAACTGACAAAATCACTAACAGCTTTATAATCTCTTTTTATTGTTATTAGAGCATACATTCCTTTTTGGGACCATTTGATCAGTTTTTTATTTTATTTTAAACAATTAAAAGACAAATATTAGATGTTTGTGTAATAATTTCGGTCGAAGTTTGGATTCCTAACCTAAATGCTAGTTTACTTTGCTGTAACTCATCACATTGTGTGAGCTTGAAGTCATCTTTTTTTGTGGGGTTTTTTCGTACTTCCAGCTGGTACGGATCGGAGACTGCGCCACTCCTGTTTGCCAACAACCCTGCAGACCATAGTCACCAGCACCACTCGTTCTACTCCACCCCTCAGAACTGAAGCCAAACCCTCATTCGCTGTCGAATTTTTACCTCACCTAGACAACGACCTCAGGGGGACGAGAACCGCCCAGCAGTACCGCCCACTCTGTGGTTGAAATTGCACTGAAAAACCTCAGGAAAGCTACGAAGATGCACCTTGTATTATTATTATTATTATTATTTAGATATATTGACTCTTTCTCAGCTTAAAGGGAACATTTTTGGTGGAACCTCCTGGTAAACTCCATGAGGGTCAAACTAAGCATTGTTTATTTATTTGCTTACTCACTGTGAATATCGGAGCTAAACTGACACTTCATATTACATTCCTGGATGGACTCAAATCAGCTTAGTTGGTAACTACTAAACATGGAGAACTGCTTTGAAAAGTGGCATTTATTAAATACAATGTGATGCATCTGAAACTGATTAAAATACAAAGGATATTTACTACTGTGTGAAGAAGTTTTATTATTGCTGACAGTGGGATTTTATGTTTCTTATTTCCATCCTTAACATTGTAGCTTGTTTCTGGGGCAATAACTCATGTTTGTTTAGGTGTTTTTTGTTTTATGTTTTGTTTTTTACTCCTGTCTGAGTTCATGTTTGATTGGATGTTTTAATTTATTTATCTATTATAAAAATTATTTTTATTAATATCTCATCTGAAAAGAACTTTTGCAATAATGCTGTTTTGTCTGACATTGCAAATTTATAACCCAGTTTTTTCTGAGAGGCAAGTAGGCAGATTATCAACCATTTAGCATAATTAGCTTAGCTACAGACTACTGTTTTCCTCCTTTTCACTAGCATTTAATGAATTAAGGGAAAAAAACTCCAACATATTCATATTTAACTTGTACCTTTTACAACACTTAACAATAGATGAGTCATTCAGCAGCAGCTCTAATTCACGTCCCTCCTGACTTGTTCTCTAAGTGAAATTAAAGCTGCAGTATGTAACTTTTATAAAAAAAAATTTCACATACGTGTTAAAACTCATTATGTTGTGACAGTATGGTATGAAGAATCTCATATGGTGCTGCTCATCCTCCCTGCAGCTCTGTGCTATGCTGCCTGCGCAGCCTTATGTGAATCCTCAGTTCAGTTAGCATAGCTACCAATGACAGCAGATAAACAGATTTCTTGTAATAAGTTGTTGCACCGCCATTAGCACATTTAGCAGTGAGTGAATGAGGTTGACAGCACTAAGACCCTCCTACTAGTTCTGATTGGTTGTTTTTGGTCTGAACCTGCATTACTTTATCCAATTTTTTGTCAGGGGACCCAAGACTCCTGGAGGTGCCTCTGAATCCAGATATTATATATGATAAATAGGCTTAACACAGAGTTAAATTAGATTTAAAAAGTTTTAAATTACCCAGGAAAATATGTAGCTCTAGATGTTTTGGCTGAAGACCTGGGATTAATTATTTATTTCTATAGAATAATTAATCTATTTCTCCTAATGTGAAGTGGTTATCTGGCAGTTCTGGCTTGCAGCGGAAGTCGTGCCCATAATTCACGCAGAGCATCATGGGGCGTAGGAATAACGTGGACCGGTTGCTCGGCTGTCTGGCTCTGATCTGCTCTCTCGTTCCCATACACTCTCTTTCAGGCTGAATACAGATGTGATTCCATGGAAATAGCACAGGGACGCCTATCCGTCTCCCCCCAGTAGTTTTAGGCTGAAGAAGCTGATCTGGAGCGGAAACAGGAAAGCCGCATTTGCTCATGCGGATGTGACGTCAGTGCCGTAAGTGCAAAGAGGCAACTCACATCACAAATATTTGCTTGAAGGCCTTGTTACATTATGAGAGTATATTAACACTGCTGCCACCACCTGTTATGGAGGGGAACTGCTTGTTCCAAAGGCATGCTCTGCGGTAATTTGCTTACCCCCATGGTAACAACCGATCACAACTCAAAGTGGAACGCTTTTGCGCGCTCCCGAACAACCAATCAGGTAGAAGTATAGCCTTATAACCATTAAAACAAAACTTTTGAATTAATTTCAAAATAAAAAAAATCAAGTGCAACAGACTTGAAGTGACTCAAGCTTAGATTGGATGGAGACCATCACATGACAAATAAAAATGGCAAATATTTCCAATGCTTTTTGTCTTCATATTAATGTAAATCTGATCTCAAATATCAAGACACTTAATGGAGAGATTTGGCTTCATTCAATAAACAATAGCAACCCAGATGAAGACAGATTGACCCAAGTCCCTTTGTTGTTGCTAAGGTCAGACAAAAACAACTCAAAGTTAGGAAAAATGCAAATGTAGAAAAGTTTTACAAGAACCTTGCAAGATTCTTTAATTGGGACCTACAGATTTTCTACAACAATCTGTTTATTTAAATATTGCATATTTAGTTTGTTGTGAACAAGTAAAGAAAAATATTCTTGCAAATTTAACTAAGATTTGTTTCTGTTTGGTGTCGAAAGTTGACAGGAACTCTTTGATGTTTTCCCCAGAAACTACAAACCTAAATTTAAAATAAAGTTGTTTTAATCACAACAAAATAAAAATAATGCTCTTTCTGTGAAGAAATCGGGGTTGTTGTTTTTTGATCAGTCATAAGTTTTAATTTAAACAGCCAAACCAAATTAAAGACAACATCACATGGCAGCAGCAGAAAACCTGTAGAAAAAGGCCCTTAAAACCAGGAGCTTCGACACGTTCCTCTGTGGCATCAGCTGCTGCTTCAGTTGCTTTATTCCGCAGCATGTACAGACGATTCTATTAAAACTCTTTATACAGTATATACAGTTTCCAATAAATCAGTATGGTACAGTGTCAGCAGTGGGAACGGGGCTCAGAACCCTGGGAAACAAGGAGAGGGTCGGCGCGGTGGCCATGTATAAAAAGCAGAAGTTAGCGGTTTGGCTTTACTTGAAACTGAAAATGCTGAAATACGTTAATGATCCGCCTGTTGCGTAACGTGTTGCTATGGTGAGCAGGACCGCCTTCCTGCTGAAGATGCGGTAAAACTAGAGCTAAACGCCGACTGACCGAGTTCATTTCCTGCAGCGTTGGCATGGCAGAAGTCCAGTCCGGAGTTGATCCAATCAAAAAAAAAAAAAAAAGAGAAAAAAAACAAAAAAACAGAAGAGGAGCCGTCGCCATCAGACGCAGAAGTGGTTGCGTCTTAGCTCGAGTCCGACTCGTTGCTGTGGGAAACCTGAGCGTGTGGACGAGAGAGGCGACGAAGAGCCGAAGCAGCCATAAGTTATCTCAAAAGTTTCTGTTGGTTCAGAGCGGTAAGCCCCGCCCCCTCTTCTCGCCGGTCACGTATCAGTTATCGGGAGGTGGCGACGGCGATGTCGGCGACGAAGACGTCGTCTCGAGCTTACGGAGGCGGCGGCGCCTCAGCTCGGCTGCGCTGGGCTCTCCGTTCTCGTCGTCCGCCGCTCCTTCATCCCAGTTCTCCTTCCTCTCTGCGTCTGAGGCAGAGGAGGTGGAGTCAGCGGGCTGAGAGGAGACTGTGGCTCCACCTACTGGGTCAGCTGGAAACACAATACAGTCCTGGTTAGGAAGGAGCTCCCATTCCTCCACCAGGGGGCGCAGTTCCATGCTTCCTGTGCATGCAGACACATTATACACATCCCCAAACCCAGTCCTCGATGCATTTTCTGTTACAGGAATGAGAAATTATTATTCCCATATAATAATTTCCAGGTTGATAAAACAACCTGGACTCTATGGAGGAATGTTAGCACTGAATTGTTACATGTCGTCTCTTTGAACTCACAACTGGGTAAAGCCTGTTCTCTGCTAAGTCATATGGTAAAACAAGCATTATTTAATAGCTTACACATCTTGCTAATACCCTTTAAAAATACATATTGTAAAGAATCATTTGGGATTCAGTGGCTGTTCCTACATGTCTGCCTAGCATTACACCAACCTGCTGCCTTCCCCCGCCTGTCCTGATTCTCTGTCTCCTCGTCCTCCTCTCGATCCTCACAGCTGAATGACATCAACTTTGTGCTAAGTATGTTTAAAAGTACAGCAGTCAAACCACATTAAAAAAAAATAAATAAATAAAAAATAAACTCTGAAATTTAATGTTAAATGATATACTTTAGCTGGACGCTGCATCTGCTCATCTGGTTACATAACAGCAGCGCTGTAGTGTTATATTGGGTGAAAACATTTCAACTCAAGTTCATCACTGCCAAATTTTAGAATCTATATGATTTTTGGTTGAACAATAAAAATCACAAAGTAGTTATTTTACGTTTCTTGCTATAATCTATTACATCACACATGCAGCACAGTTGCAGGACAGCAGTGATCTGTCATTTAGTAACTTAAGCTAACCTGAGTATTTACAATTTACATGGCTCCTCTATTAGCCTTTTAACAACATTTTTACCAGCATTTCACAGAGAAATGGATCATATAATGAGCATAGCAGATTCCAACAGGTGTGCTAATTGCTCCTGGCTAGTCTGAAGGAGCTAAGTGGGGCTGCTCTGTGAGGCAGAAGCCTGGAAGCTTAGAAACTAGAAAACTGCAGCTCAGAAGGTGGAGCTACGAGTGAAAGAATCAAGGCAACGTTCGAGGTATGTTTATGATGAGGGAATGACATTATAACATGATGTAGAGCTAATAGAAAAAAGTTGATTTTACATAATCCTGTCCCTTTAAGACACTTGTATGTTAATAAAACTCTGTGTCATATCAGTACGCCCCCTTGTGTTGCATACCCACGTTTCACCCCAGATTCAGAATTCATCACCATCCTTTCTAAATTATGAAACACTGATTCTTCTTCTGTGAAAATACTTTTAGCTGGTTTTTCAAAACTGTATAAATAAAAAAAAAAAGTGAAAACTTCTGTGATCAGAAACTTGTATTTGTTACATACAGGTGGACGAGTCCCTCTCTGTGGTGGGACTCTCTGCGCCAGCGGACGCTGCCTCCTGATTGGCTCCGCCAGCTTCTGCGGCGCCACCCTCAGGCCGCGGAGGGCTGAGGTGAGAACAGGAGAGAGGTGATGTTTCAGCGCATGGTGGCTCTTCAAAATTACAAAGGGAAATCAAGACTGCAGGCTTTTTCCTGACCGAACCCGTTTTAGATGGAGGGGCGTAACCTACGCGAGCGTGGCGACGGTGCTGAGGTAGTGGTGGATGTTGAGCATGGCGGCGTCCAGCAGGGTGTGGATGTTCTGGAGACACTGCAGCCTGGCCTCCAGGCCCCTCCTCCCTTCGGCCTCCAGCTCCCTCAGTTCCTCCTCCGTCAGCCGAGAGAGCGACGGAGGCGGAGGAGGCATGGACGACACTGGGAGAGGATAGAGAGAGGAATAAGCTCCACGTCAACACAACCAGACTATTTTTTTTTTCACTCAAACAAGTGTCTCTAGATGTGGAAGCTTACCGAAGGGAGGAGGCGGAGGCATCGGCAGCCACGGCGCAGCGGGGAAGGGAGGAGGCGGGAAGGAGAAAGGGAATCCTGGGATTGCTGATCCTGGAGCGGCGGCAGCGGCTGATGATGTAGCAGCATCTGCAGCAGCAGAAGGGGGCTGGCTGGTGCCTAAAGGGGACGGACGCATCACAAATTGATGTCATCAAGAAAAAGCTAAATCGCTTGAGTTAAAATGACCATAGTTAAAGGTAGAGTTCGGGGCGTTTTACCAGCAGCCTGCGTCGTGTCCGTGCTGCCTGGTGGAGCATCAGCTGCAGCAGGAGCTGCAGGTGGAGCAGCAGCAGCAGGTGGAGGAACTGCAGGGAAAGGACCCCAGAAAGGGAAAACTCCTGGAGGGAAGCCTGGCAGCATGCCGGGAGCGACTGGAAGAGAGAGAAAGAAAGAGGAATTCAATGAACAAGGAATAACAAATGGTGAATGTAGGAGAGGGACCGCTTTCTCCACTGTAATAAATAAAAAAGTAGTCATTTTGGACAATTTAAAAGATAAAATATTCTTTAAAGGGCAGTGCTATGCATTTTCCAGCCACATAGTGCCATTTTATAGCATAAGCAAGTAACTATGTTATAAAAATGCTAACTATATCAAATGTGACTTAAAAGAAACCTGATTTTGTAATGGGCTCTTTGAACCTCAGCTTCCGCGTTCGGGGTAAAGCGGCTCGATTGTTTCCGATCCAATACAAATATCATTTAC